CTCCACATGCAAATCGTAAACCTTTTCTGTCTTTTGCTTTCACCCCACCCTTCTTTCTGATCAAAATGAAACTACTCTAAACCACTTCTTTCTTCCTAACACCAAGTGAAAAGATCGCGTTTTTCCCCACTGTCATCTGTGACTTCCTTTCATATTAGTGATGGGCTAGTTTTTGTTCAAATTCAGATCACGAAAGATTGATAATGTTCTTCACCGTAACGTGGAAACTCTACGGAAACATGTCCCTTCTTGCCATGGCGTTTTTACTGGTGAGGAGGCAGAGGGAAAACATTTCTCATTGCTGTCCTCACTCAGGCTGTTTCATGCAAGTTTACTTATGCAAGCAGTGTATGAGTAATTTCACAACAGACAGTTAAAACATGCGGATCTGATTTGCAGCCAAATGCTAATGCTGGGGCTAATGAGATGGGTAAAAGAGGGTAACAAATTGGTAAGGAAAACATAATTGATAGAAGTTAAAACCTACTTTGTGCTTGGTTGTTTTTGTTTTGTTGTTCTCGTATCAAGATGTAGACATTTGAAACTTAATGCTTTCTAATTTAATTAAATGAACAGAAAGAACCAATTTTACTGTAAGATTCAATTTTTTTTATGTACCGGGAAATAGAGGATTTAATTTAATTTTATTTTTATGTATAGGCACTTTTAGAACTTAGGAACACAGCCAGAGTCTACATTAAAATAGTTTCTTAATTCTTATCTGTCCAGCAGGCTTCAGCTGAGAAGGCAGCTTTTATAATAATAAATGAAGGATGTGATATCTTCAGTACATCTAATAGAATTATTTTTCAGTGTGTCCTTGTGAAATTTTGCAAGAAACATGAAAACAATCAATAGAACAGTAAGTGCATTTTGAAAGACTGGAAAACCCCATTGGACTTACTCATGAAGAGAAAAAAACCTCAAACATACTGTCTCCTTGTAAAATACAGTGTCAACTGAGCATTGTTGGCAAAAATGGAGGAATGTGGTTAGAACGTGATTTAGGGTACAGGCAATGAAACGAAAAGGTGGTTTTCTTTTTTTTCCACCCATCTCTCAACAGCAGTAGTACAATGGATAAGTTTGTGCTGGTCTCCTGAAACAAAAATCCTTAAGTGCTTTTTAATGTTGTCAGGAGGGATGCACAGGGACCGCCTGAGCAGCGTGATGACCCAGATGCAGAAGGCACCACAAACAGTTCCAGTTCATGTTTCTTTACAGAACAGCAGCAGAAGGAGAAGTTGAGTGATACTGGGAACAAAATGGCTGACAGGGCTTCTAGCACATTTCTCTCTGCAGAGGAATTAAATAACCCAGGGCCATATTTTTTAATCTTTCTTTTAAGCCTCTAGCAATTGTTTCAATGAAATGTTAACAAAAATACAGACGGTATCTGCTAGGTTAATTACAGGTCAGGCTACTGATGTTAAGTTTATCCTGTTCACAAAATAAATGTATTTAAAGATGGACTCTGCACCATCCTGGAAACTCTTTTTTTTTTTTTTTTTACTCTGGATAGACACAAGAAGGAAATTCCGAAAGTGGTTTTGCTTGCTGTGCTTTTAGATATCCACACATAAAAGATGAGTAATGTTACTCTCAAGTGTGTAATTATAATAGAGGAAAGAAGAGCTCTTCCCTCTTTCCAGATGTTACAAAGATGTCAGGACTGGGCTGACAGAAGGGTATAATAAGATGCAGTTCAAGAGGGAGTAGCAGTACCTTGCTGAACAGCTGGCTTCGAGGGAAGGATACTTTATGAAATAACCCTGCTCTGTTGTTCCTTAACTGAGAGGCTGTCTAAAACAGATTGTCTGAGGTAGGGAGTGCTCCGACTGGATTTCCACATTAAGTCATTTTGCTGGAGGAGCTGTGGAGGGACTGCAACTTGTGGCAGAAGATGGCCCTGAGCAGTGTCTGAGGGCATGAAAATACTTTCAGATAGAAAGGGAACACCAGGTGGTACTTACTCCTGATGCACCTGCAATGCTGTGTCTCTTGAATTTTTGGCTTTGGTGTTGTGCCCACTTCTGTAGCATCTTATGGTGGGTATAAAGTTCAGTTCCAGGGTAGTATGTTTTATTTTCAGACTCAGTACAAGTTATCTGAGAAGTTCTTTGTGAGTATATAATGAAGAATTGTGGCAGAGAGTACTGAAGTATTCGTTGCCATGTATTAAAACTGAATGCAGACTTCCCATTTGTTTTCCATACCTAAGGGATAAATCTTGATCTTTCTTGGTAAGTGCAAAATAGGAAGAACAGATTCATAGCCTGAATTTGGAACTGTGGATGTTTCTCCTTGTCCTTAAAATACATGTATTCAGTAAATTTATCAGCTGGACTGATGCCACATTTTTAAACAAACAGTAGCAATTTTCTGCGTTAAGATGAGCGTAGCTGGGTTACTGCGCCCTTCTGACTCTGTTTCTCTAGCCATAAGTTGTGGGCAATGATACCGACCTGGTCATTACAGCACCTGAAGATCAAGGGTTGAAAAGCACTGGGCAGGCTGTGCTGAATGGTAGAGGAGAGAGACATATAGGAAAAGAATGAATGATGTGTCCCAAAAGTGGTATGAAAGCCAAGAGATTTGTCTCTTTATGAAAACATGCAGCCTCCCTGGAAGTGGGTGGCTTAAATTTCTTTTGCCAAGAAACAAGAAAACATCACAGTGAAGAATTTTAGAGGTGTTAGATATACAGTGCTTTTTTCCAGATTAATTTAAAATATTTGTTGTCAGATGACCTGTCTGCCTGTTGATTAAATCTCTCCCTTGAATCTGCTAGAGTGGAAGTCTGGGTGCACACAGAGGAAATGACAGCCTGGGCTGTCTGCTTCCTAATCCCTTGTTTGATTTTTGTGTAATAAAAACAAAAGCAACACCAAGCTTTTAGAATCCCCTTTGTTTCGTTTCAGCATTGGCTGCTCAGTATGTAACATTTCAGTGGGTGAAGGAAAGGGAGATGAAACATCCTATATCCATGGCTTATTTCAACTGTAAACTGAGACTCAGTCATCAAAAATTAATGAACCTGACCTGTAACACGTTTCAAGAAGAATCTTGAAATCAGTTTTATCTGGTATAATTTCAGAGTAGAGTTCAGTTTTTTTGTTGTTTGAAGACTGACTCTGATCAGCTGGAAGTCATAGTTCCAAGTTTATGTTCCCTCAAAAACTCAACCTTTTAAACATTTTGTTTCATTTATTTTATTTTAAGCATTGCTCAGTTTTAGAAACCTGTGACTTTGGCGGAGGTTTCAGATGTGTAAAGGATATTCATTATCCCTTACTGACTGCTTCTGCAAAGTATATTCCAACACAGTACGCTTCTTCCAAATACCTGGATATATGCTCCTGGCATAATGAGCAATTCACTCCTGTGCAATGTAGCTACTAAATTTACTCTTGTTTCAGTTAACCACAAGATCAAAAATAAATCAATTTGCTTATGAGAACTTCCCCTTCACAGTGCGGATGGTGGAGTGAGCCTGTGTACTGGCTTTTGGTGGTAAAGGAGGGGTTTGGAGGGGGTTTAGGGAACTGGCAGCAGATACATTGCCCCACTTCAGTCTGCTGTTGGTCTTAACAAGGATTCGACCCGGGCACACAATTGCTGTGCAGTTTGTTGCAGATCAGGATGACAGCTTGCTGTCACAGCTTGCAAAATGAGTTTGCATGGAGCCTGTTTACAGTGTCCCTGGCTCTTCCAGCCAGTGCTGTTACGAGGCCTCTGCTTTGAGAAGTGCAGAATTCATATTTGCTTTTGCTCTTTCAACAATTTTATGCATTTGATTATAACTCTTGCTTTTTCTTTTTAATCCTGATAAGGACGTCTTTGTTTTTCATTTGAGTCTCTGTCTTTTGGGTGAGTTGAGAAGGAGAAAAGGTGTTTGGGACAATAGCAGCTGAATTCTTTTTCCTTTATATCTTTTGTAAGCTCTTTATTTCAGAAGGGCATAGGCTGGAGTCAAAATCTGGCAAAGAAAAGGGGATTTAAGCACCTAAATTGTGCCAGGGCTAAAACTGCAATCCCCTTAAGCATCTTGCTCCACTGATGCCTGAAACTGGAGGCACCTTGGTTTGCTGAGTGCCTTCTTGATGAACTTGGAAGCTTTTCAGTTGCCTCTGATTTGGCTCACGTAGCTGCCTGGCATATTGTAATCTAAGCAGCCTTGCTCCCAGCTAATCCCCCCTGGGATCGATAAACCCAGTAATGAAACGTTTTGGCGAAGGGCCTGATCTGATAGATGCTTTCAGAGAGAACCGTTTGTGCAGCAGTAGGGCTGGGCTCCTTGCAAAACACATCTGTGGGTTTAGAGAGCCACAGAAACGCCAGGCCACAGAGGAAAAAAAATTAACTTCCATTCCCTGCTCTGTCAGCAGCCACTTGGTGCTTGTTTCAGGTATCACCAATGTTGGAGAAGAGGGTTGGATCTTCTTTGGTTCTGTGTAAGGAAATATATAGGTGCCTGCTTCTAGAAGGTGGACTGGGTAGATGGTGGTTGCTGAGCTCTGGAGAAGGTCAGGCTTTCAGCAGCATCAGTCGGATGATCCTCAGTGACCTCCTTGCTCAGTCTTCTCATGCCTTCACCTTCGTGCCAGAGTGCTTTGTGCTGGTGCACGGCGTGGGGAACTGGGCACCAACCAAAGGTGTCTGGGTTTCTCAAGGAAGCATGTGCCTGCTTTACAAGGCTGTAAATCAACAGTGAGCGCTGAGTGCAAAACTCCAGCCTTGCTCAGACTTGACCTGTTTTATCTGAAAGAACCATTTGAGGTGGGATTGTTCATGCATATGGAAAACAGTTACTTTGAACTGGCAGGGGAGCACACAAATGGAGGTGAACTGTTTCATATGGCTGTTACTGGTTTGCATTAAAGGGTGGCTACTGACATGCATGCTGTGTTTGTGGTCGACACCTGTGTACGAGGATGCTTTACTCAGCTCTTGCGTTGTTCACATGTGTTCTTAATGAGGTTTTGTTCTACCTCTTGTAGGCAGTCACTTCTTTCATCGTAACTCTCTGTCCCCTCGAAGCCTGGTCTACGAGAGCGAGTTCTCAACCATCGAGCCTGCCTTGGACATGTATGACGAGAACAAAACCTGAAAGGAATCCATGCTCCTTCCTGGCCCTTTTTCCGTTTTTTTCATTTCTCATTCCTATTGTTGTGTACTCTTTCCATGGATCTCCTTTGTCTGAAGAAGAGCTGCTTTTTCCAGAACACGAACCCGCCTTCTCGATTGCAAAGACGAAGACCAGCTGTGGTGGTTTCTGAGGGTGGCATCTTTGAGCTGACAAAGAGTTGTGCGCAAGCAAGATTGTCTGATGGAAATTGCTGAGTAACAGCATGGGGAGCTGTGTCGGTCCAGCCGTGGCGATGCAGAAGAGGTTTTACGGTGGTCCTAAGAATTTGTGTTGTACTGCAAATGCGTCTCTTACGTAGGCGTCTGCTGTTTCCAGTTTTTTAATTGTCCAGGTGGTTGGGCAATGTCAGAAAGGGAACTGGTTGTAGAGGAGATGGCCAGTGACTGGTAAAAGCACTCTTATATCTCGGTCAATCCATAACCTTACTGTGAAATAGCCCCTTCTGAAAGGGACCTTAATAAGTGCATTGAGTTTCCTACAACCCACGTAACCCCAGACAATAGCAAAACCAGTCTGACATTAAAGCTGCAGCGAGGACCTGCATTTGCAGAAATTTCAAGGAACTTAATGCTTGGATTTTTTCTCCAATGTGATTGAAGCAGGAGAAAAATGGTCTACACAGAATATACTTTCGGTCCTTCCGTGTGCTCAAGTCAAGTGAGTCTCTTTCTATAGAGAAGACAGTCATGGAACCAGCACTTGATCTACCTGAAAACCATTAGACTTTTTGAAATATGCAGGAATCTAATTAGCTTTCTTTCTCACTTAACTTTTTCTTTGGGGGGGGGGTGGG